TTTGCGCCTTTTACCAAAATTCCTTAAAATGTTTGGTCTACAAAAGCCCCCTACTTTGGAAAAGTTTCGAGAACATCGATTGAAGGCCACTCCGCTGTAATAGGTCGTGGCTTACGTGCAATGGCTCCTAAATGTTTATTGTCAGCTCAAAGCTACAGAAATAAGAAAAACTTAATTTAGAGCTTTTCGTGTAAATTCTATAACTTTGCAGAGAAAGATCGTATAGAGCTGGAAAATATCTCATTTTAATCAGAAATTTGCGGTCTATAATCATGCGTCATTACCAGATTCGGATACCAGATTCGGATTTAGCGCAGTCGATTACCTATTGTCTACCCGATTTCACGCAAAAATCGAGTGCACACTTGGGGACTCAAACGGAAGCGTTTGACCGTTATCCAGTAAAAAGACGTTCTCCTCATATTCCATGATCTTTTTGCTACTAGTTTTATAATTCATAGGTGGGACACTATTGAACCACAAACAACCAATATTTGAACGGTATTTATCTTCATCGTTGTCGACCATTACCACTGAAGATAAATCTCAGCCATTATTATTTAGTAGTGCAACGAAAGACGAGAAACTAAAACCCTTCTTTTCAACTGACAATTATACAAATAAACCATCGATCTTTGAACATGCATCAACAAATGGTTTTGGTAGCAAATCGATATGTGGAAATACATCTGAAATTAAAAACTCAGGTAGCGGATTTCAAATTTCGGGTTTCGGAAATAGTACAACTACAACATCCTCGCCACTAACTAGCACAGTCACTGGATCGAACAATAATGGATTTCTAGGTTTTCAGTTTGGAAACAATTCATCAAATTTTAATAAAGCATTCAAATTTAGTTTTGGTGAATTAGCCAAACCAAATAATAATAACTCGACAGATGGAAATGATCGAGTGTTTCCTTATCAAGGCACTTCAGTATCTGGTTCAACACCAAAAAAGAGCTATAATACTCCTCCGGCTGGTGAGAATGATGACACTGGCAGCGATGCCAACGATTCCTATGAACCATCTGTGACATTTCACCCAATTATAAAGTTAGTCGCTGTTGATGTTCAAACTGGCGAAGAAGATGAAACTGTTCTATTTTGTGAACGAGCCAAATTATATCGATATGATAATAGCTCAAATTCAATGAAAGAACGTGGCATTGGTGAAATGAAAATATTACAACATAAACAAACAAAAGTCTGTCGTATACTCATGAGACGTGAACAGGTTTTGAAAGTCTGCGCAAATCATCAGATATCATCCACAATGGAGATGAAATCACATCATGCATCGGATAATGCATATGTATGGAATTGTTTAGATTACGCTGATAATAGCACTAAACAAGAAACATTCTGTGTCAAGTTTAAAACATCTGCACAAGCAAAACAATTTAATAGCGCATTTAATGATGCTAAAAAATTAAACGAAAATTTAAAGTAATTTCTTTTTTTCTCTGTGTGTGACAAAGTAATTACAACAATAATATTTAACATTCGAATATATAAATCGCAAATTATCAGTTGTGTTCAAGGAGTCTTTTATTAAGGCATTTGTACTTTTATCACTCTTTATCTCTGCACTCTCTAATAACCATTTTTAAAAAACGCGTCTAATAACAGTTGTTTATTATTATCTTATCAAGTACAAATATCAGCTAATAACAGAGATAGAGATAAACCCACGAGTAATCCTTCAGTTCGTGAATAAAAAAATTCATCGAATTGAAATGCTGCATTTTGGTTACAGAAGTCGACTATTTCTAAAATACCCTCTAGTTCCATTCCCGTATTCCCTTTCCATTTATTATTCAACTTCATTTTTTTCCTAACACCGCTAAAGCTTGCTTTCGATCAATGAACGTGAAGAGATCGGTAAAATCTAAATTTTAATTTTGTTCAAGCGTTTAATGAAGTTGTTGATGTTAATAATGGATCTGCACTGTCAACTATCGGTTTCATAATCTGCGTAACATGTTTCGCTAGATAGGAACCAATTGTGTGAAACATTGACTTCTCCTTATGTATTTTTGACTGACCTTTGACAAATGGTAACTGAAATCGATAAAAAGAATGTGGATTCTTTAAAGCTTATGTCGCCTTTATGTCTACCATATTTTGAGCAGTACCGTTATATCCATATAGATTTGTGTTGACCGATCGGATGATAATTTCTTCCAACTATTCGTATTTAATTTCTGCTTTACCTTTTTGATATAATTGTCAACACCCATCACCACACCCTTTTCGATGTTGGCAGCATAGTAATATTATCATTTTCTTTTAATTTTTCTAATACTCAAAACTGCTCCTTCATAAAATTATTTCGGCGACGGTTTTCCATAACTATCTATAATATAGACATTTTTGAGTAAAATGGCGCTTTCCGTTTGAAAAAATATTGCTGGGTTGCTGAGAAACGAGCATTTTAAAATTTCGACCCACTTTTGAAAAATGCGACATCTCTCATATTGACAACTTTGTGTTGCTCATACCTCGGCAATCATATAAGATAAAGAGCTCAAATTGTTTACATAAATAGAACTAACATTTTTCTTTGATTTACAACAAACCCATCTTCTGAGAATGATTTCGTTCTCATACTGTGACTTGTATCCGGTACGTCCTAAACTCATATTTTGTCTATTTTGGCGCCATACTGTATCGAAACGAAACATTTTCAGAAACGTTTGAAAACACCATTAGATAGAGGACCTCGAATACTACAACACCTGAACGTGTGAGCTTCTAATTCGCTACTAGGTGAAATACCCCATTTTCGATTAATTTCATCAAAAATTAAAAAATTTATAATTCAGGCAAAATCCATCCAATGTACTTCCGAATGTCAGGAAACACACTATTTTATCTGCAGTTCAATAAATTCTCAGTAAAACTCAATAAACATTGAAAAAACCAACAAAAAATACTTTGCTTTCTAGAAAGGTTTCCTAGAAACCTTCGGAACTAAGAGAATTATTTTTTATTGATTTTACGTACAGAGTCAGAATTAGCGGATAAAGTAGAGTCTTTCCTGACATTCGCAAGTAAATTTGGACTGAGTTGTGAATTTTTTAATTTTTCATGAAAATAATCGAAATTGGGGTACTTCACCTAGTATCAGTTTTCACTCGGTTGTTGGATTTTGTTCTGAAAACTAACATTGCCACGAGATTCAGCATAGTCGATAACCTATGTTTTCATTGGTTTCTGACAGTCCGAAACCTAACAGCACAGGAGTGCTAAGGCTTTAGGGAAAACATCCATAGCTCCCGAGCCATGGATTTCTAAGATATCGCTTAGATCTAGTTCTGTAGAGGACACTTCGGACTATATATCCACGTGAAACAATTCATAGATTTCTATGCCAGCTTTCAGAGAACTGAACTGGT